ATCGTTGGTTCGTTTGGGGTTAATTCTGGCATGGGGTTGAAACTTTGACCATTGGCTATTTGAAAAGGAGTGTAACCTGTGCTGGAGTGGACTGCATTATTGTAGGCAACTTCTGCGAAAGGGAGTAGGTCCGCCCAATCAGTCTGCTAGAAATTCAAAAAACATCTTAAATATTGCTCAAGTACTGAGTTCATTTTTTCAGCCCCCCCATTCCCTTGTGGGTGATGGCTAGATGTCAGTCCCTGAGTGGTCCCTAAGAGGGATAAAAATTCCTTCCAAAATGCAGACGTAAATTGCACTCCCCTATCAGAGATGATGCGTTGGGGTGCCCCATGCAATCTGTAAATGTGCTGGACGAAAAGTTTCGCTAAAGCTTTTGCGGTGGGAATCTTTTGGCAAGGGATAAAGTGTACCTGTTTGGAAAACAAGTCCGTGACCGTCCCGACAACAGTATTCCCATTGCTTTCTGGCAATTCCACTATAAAATCCATGGCTATTTCCCTCCAGGGGGCTGAGGGGTTTGCCACTGTTTGTAATAGTCCTGGCGATTTCCCTTGCAACCTCTTTGCAGTTGCACACTTTGGGCAGCTGGCCTCGTAGCTTTCTATGTCCTTTTTTATGGATGGCCACCAAAATTGCCGTTTAATTAAGTGTAATGTTTTTACAAATCCAAAATGCCCTGCTGATTTTGTGTCATGGCAAAGCTGCATGAATGTGACTCTTTGGGTTGTTGGTATATATAACTTTTCCCCTACCCAAGGCAACCCGTCTCTCATTGTGCACACATTTTTGTTTTTCTGAAACCATTCATCTGTTTCCAAACTTTTCTGGAATTCAATTCCAGTTTGGCTGCTCAGTTGTGGTTTTAATTTAGTTTGGGCTCTGGTGGTTACTGGTGCTGCCAGTTGTGATTCTGCCATCATCGGTTTACAGTCTGTGGTTCACGTGCTGTTATATTGGGGCATGCGATATAGTGCATCTGCCAGGAAGTTCTTTCTCCCCGGCAAATGTTTGAGCTTAAATTGGAACTGGTGGAAATGCTGGGACCAGCGGGCTTGCTTGGGGTTGAGCTTCCTGGGTGTTTTCAGGGCTTCCAAATTCTTGTGATCAGTCCACACCTGGAAGGGAATTTTGTTGCCTTCTGGGAACTGGTGCCACGTGAGTAATGACCAACGTATCCCGTATGCCTCTTTCTCCCATACGGGCCAGCGCTGTTCTGTTTCCGTGAGTTTCTTGGATGTATACGCACAGGGTTGCAATACCCCTTCATCGTTTTCTTGTAATAGTACGGCCCCCACTGCCACATCACTTGCATCCGCCTGTATTACGAAGGGCTTATCCATGTCTGGGAGCCTCAGTACAGGTTCGGCAGAAAAAAGTCTCTTTAATCTCTCAAACACTGCTTGGCATTCCATTGTCCATGTTAGTGACTGGTTAGGTTTTACTAAGGATGCTCCCTTTGTTTTTAGTAAGTTAGTGAGGGGCAGGGCTATCTGACCAAATGAGGGGATGAATTGACGGTAAAAGTTTGCAAACCCTAGGAAACTTTGTAGTTGCTTTCTTGTGCGGGGTGGTGCCCAATCTAACACTGCACTGACCTTCTCTGGGTCCATTTCAATGCCTTGTGGGGATATGCGATAACCTAGGTAGTCTATCTTTTCCTGGTGGAATTCGCATTTCGAGAGTTTGGCATATAGGTGGGCGGCTCGCAGTTTCTTTAAAACCGCTCTGACTAGGTTGACATGTTCATCTTTTGATTCGGTAAAGATAAGAATGTCGTCTAAGTAAACAAGGACCCCCTTAAATAGGTGCTCCCTTTAGAACATCATTGATTAATTGCATAAATACTGTGGGGGGCCCTTGTAATCCAAATGGCAAGACTTTGAATTGGTAGCACCCCATGGGGCAGTTAAATGCGGTCTTCCATTCATCCCCTTCCTTAATTCTCACACGATAGTAAGCTTCCCTTAGGTCTAGTTTAGAAAAGAATTTCCCTTTCGAGAGGTGTGACAACATGTCTTTCATGAGGGGTAGAGGGTATAGGTTGCTTTCACTGATTGTATTCAGGGCCCTATAATCCACGCATAAGCGTAAAGAGCCATCCTTCTTCTCTCTAAAGAGGACCGGGGCAGCCACTTTAGGCTTGGCTGGCTCAATGAACCCCCTTTCTAGGTTTTTCTTTATGAATCTTTCCATTTCCCCCTTCTCCTTTGGGCTCATGGAGTATAATCTGGGCTTCGGGAGTTTTGCCCCAGGCTTGAATTCAATGGCACAGTCCGTGGGTCGGTGGGGGGGGGAGCTCTTCCGCCTTCTCCTCACTGAAAACTTCAGCAAGGTCTCGGTATTCCTCTGGTATTTCTGGCAGTCCCTTCTCCTCTCCCATGGATGCTTTTTCTGTTCTTGATTCTGGTAGCCCCCCTTGGGATTTTAAGTCCATAGGGTCCCCCTTTTGGAATTTGATTTCATCCATCCTCCAATCCACCCAGGGGTTCCATTTTTGTAACCATTCCATCCCTAGGATCATTGAGCATTCCATGCCTGGGGTCACCACAAACGTTATGTCCTCCTCATGTTTGCCCAGGGAGAGGTGTATTGGTAAAGTGGCATGGGTAGCTGGCAACCCCCCTGCTATGGACCCATCTAACTGGCCAAATGAGATTGGTTGTTCCAGTCTCCTCGACGGAATGCCCAGATTCCCCATTAGCGTCGGGCTAATGAGGCAGCAGGTGCAGCCAGAGTCTATTAATGCTCTCACCCTCACGGCTTCGGCCATGGGGTGAATGAATATAGTCACTGTCTTGAGGATGGGTGCGATGCGTCCACTTACCAGGGGTTCGCCCTCTGAGCTGTCGTCTGAGGCATCCACCGGCCCTGCGGTGTAGGCTGGGGTTCTTTCCCCCTGCTGAGCAGAGGTGGGGGATTCCACAGCTTCCATCATTCTCATGGCAGGTTCTTTTGGCTTAGCTGGAGACTTTCTGGAATTACTGGCCGGTGATCTGTCTGGGTTGTGTTGGGTGGCTTTTGAGCGGCATTCTACAGCGCGGTGCCCTTCTTTCCCGCACTTGAAACACCCCATTTGCTTCTTGGCTGTGGCCAATGGTTTCACTGGTTCGCGTGTCAACTCAGGCGGTGAGCGGCTCCATTGTTTTCCTTGGCGGTGCCTCTTCAATATGTCGATCTCGGCTTCCTCTGCCAAGACATACCATTCCTCAAGTTGGTGTGGGTCCCCTCGGGGCAGGCAAGCGTCATATAGGTCATAATTTAGTCCGTCTTTGAAATGGCTAAGGAGGATGTCTTCTGGCCAGTTCAGTTTGCTGGCAATGGCCCGGAATTCTTGCGTATATTCGGCTACCGGGTGTTTGCCTTGCCTCATTGTTTTTATCCTTTCGCGGGCTTTGCGATCAGCCAGGGGGTCCTCAAATCATCTTCTCAGAGAGGACATAAAACGGTTGAAGTCGTTGAGCTCTGGGGCATTGGAGTCGTGCACGTTCACCACCCAATCTGCGGCCGGCCCGTCCAGGGCGGATTGCACAATCCGGATACGGGCTTTGTTGCTGGGGATGTCCTGCCCGTATTCCCCCATGTAGCTGAGGACTTGGGTTAGGAAAAACCCCAAGCGTGTTGGCTCCCCTTTGAATTTCACCTCCAGCGGCGGACGTCTTTGAATGGATCGGTGCCTTCGTTCTCGGTGGTAGTCTCTTCCATTCAGATTGCCATCTGTTGTTCGGCGGGGGGTGGGGGACTACTGGATCAGCTGATGTCCCCAGGGCTGCAGGTTCCACTTCCCCTTCGGTGTCTCTCCCTTTGCGGCTCCAGGAGCTGGGGTGGGCATAGAGCTCAGGATTCTCCTCTCCTAGGGAGCTGAGAGTTCGCTTCATTAGGTCGATTGCTTTCTCTAGGATCCAGCCCGAGTACGGTGCCCAGCTCCCTTCCTCTTCACTTGCGTGCAAGGATTTCTCCATCTCCTGCTTCCATTCTGGTTGTTTGGGCCCCCGTCTCAGGGTCACCTTTCTTGACTTCTTTTCCCACTCGCCTTTCTTTCCAACGTCCATTGACCACCGAGGTTTGTGGTCCCGTGTCTCCACCACCTCTTCTCCTGAGGAATCTGACCTCTCAGATCCCGACATCTGGCAGGGTTTCAGCCAGGGCAGCAGCTCCCTTTCCGAGGAGTTTTCTCCCTTCCTTGCTCCACCGTCTGACATGGTAATTTTTGCAAAGTCCCCCGGCAATCAATTGTTGCTTCATAATTAATCATGACTCCCCCTCTTTACCCAGGGTTCTCAGATAAAATATGGCTCTTACCAAATGTTTTAAAAATCTGTTCATTTTTAAATCCATCAATTTAGGGTGTATTAATGAAACTAGTATTGCATGTGCAATATTTCTATTAGAATAATACTTTTACTTAACTTGCGACTAATGGCTAAAGTTTCTCATAATTGCAGGTTTTTAAAGTGGTTAGTAAAACTAATGTAAGTTAACAGATAGGAAACTAAGATTGTAAAGGTGTGCTTTTTTTTTTAGAAAGGAAGAAAATAGATAAACTTTCAGCTGGAGGTTCTTGATTGCCTGTAATTAAGGAGAGGATAAGAATAAGGTACATCATTGCAAGTAACTTTTTAGGGGGAGAAAAATGAAATGCTGGCAAAGGTTAAGTATATAAGAAGAGATGCAAAAAGGAAATAAGGGTAGTTAGCAGCATGGTCCAGAGATTTATTTTGAATTTGAAACATAACAAGGATTTTTAAAAGTACAGCTAGTCCTTGACTTACAACAGCTCGTTTAGTGATCATTCAAAGTTAGAATGGTACTGAAAAAAGTGACCTATGACTGTTTTACTCAGTTACAACTGAGAAACAATAATCATGTGATCAAAATTCAGATGCTTGGCAACTGACGCGTATTTATGACCATGTATATATATATATATATATATTATTTTTTTATAAGTCGTATAAACAACAGCACTATTTCCCCCTTTGACAGAAGAGACGATCTTGTGCAATGATGCTGTATTATTTTATTGGTTATACTTCAAAAATCATACCTCCACAATTACTGATTTGAACAATTTTTGTTTTCTTGTTTTATCTGCTTCTACCTATAATCTCTATCAATCTGGATTAATGGATACTTTTATTACTGACTGCAGAAAAACTTTGGACTCTTGAGAGCATGTAACAGTATCTAAATTATTGCTTTGCTTGCACTGTTCTGATGTCTTCACTTCTTTAATCCTGGTATCTTCACTTCTTTAATCCTGAAAAAAGTAAGACCAAGATGACAAAATTAAAACCTGATTCTTATTTATGAGAAACCTCACTGTGATAATTGGGATTGCTAGTTCTCTTTTTTAAAGTAAAAATCATAAGCCATGGTTCAAAGTGGCATGAGTTACAAGATGTCTGGTCATACCGTTTATAAAGTAACAAAGCCTTGGAAACAGATAACAGTTTTATACAACTTCAAAGATAGAATTGTGTCATGGAAGGGGAGTTATTTTCCTCTGAAACATGAAGTGAAGCCTCTTTTTATTCATAAAAAGTATTTGAACTAAATGACAGATAGTACTATTTTATAGTATTTCTTTTCATTGAATTTGGCATCATTCAAACAATAATAATAAACAATGTCCGGAAATCAATTGAGTTGATAAAAAGAAATGTTGAATGTTACATAAGTAATAGGTGTGGGGTTTTTTTCTGAACCAGTTATGATATGGAGTCCAGAAAAGAGTGCTAACTACAGGTAGTCTTCACTTAATAGCTGGTCTCTGAGGGACCGTTCAAAATTATAACAAATCTCCCCAGAATGTCAAGGTTGAATTGCTAAGATGCCTGCTAACATCTATTGCTACTCAACTTGCCATAGAAACAGGGGAGGGGGAGGAAGCGTGGGAAGGAAGCGGGAATATAACAAGCCATCCACAGAGGGTGAGAGCCTATAAGAATGCCAAGTCACTAACTCAGGTGTCTGACAGAAGTGGATCATTCTTTTTTTTAAAAAAAAAATTTTTTTTATTAATTTTTCATTTAAAAACAGAAACATAAATCTTTTAGAAGTGGATCATTCTTATAACAAACCAAAGATATATGATTGAGCAATGTGAATACTTGGTGGGTGGGGGTTATGAAAAGCTATTCTTAACTATGCGGATTTTCACACAGGAAAATCAGAGCTGCGTTTATTTCTTCAGTTCTGAGATTTGTATTCAATAAAGTTTTATCTTTTATGGTATTCCAAAGCCTTGAAGATTTCTTGATTTTGAGTGTGGTAATCAGACAGCTGACATTAAACCAGCTCTCTCTGTTGTGAATGCAGCCTACTCAGAGGCTTCCGAGAAGACTGTAGCATAGTGATGTCGGGGACTGAGAAGAAGATCGATGCCACCACAAAGTCTGGGCAAATCCCTTCCCGGGAGGCCCTGTCAGACTCCGGGTCACAGCCAGTTGTAACGTGGTCCAAAGTGAGAGTGGATAAAGCCGAGCAACCACTGGTGCAAAAAGAGGGAGCCGTGGCAGGATCCCTCTACACTGGCTCTAAAATCCAATGGATGGGCAGTGTGAGGAAAGCAGCCTCATCTCCCGGGGGTTGCAGTAACCCGAGTGTGTGTGTCTGCAGCCTGCCTGCCTGAGCCAGTGAGCTTAAGGGCAAGGAGCCACGAAGAGACTATCCATTTTATTGTAGCACCAAAGATGGCAGAGACCATAATACTGGGGTTGTTGTGGCTAAAAAAAGTGGAACCTGTCAATTGACTGGGGGAGCAACAAGTGGTGACTGAGGAGCAAAGCCGAGAACAGGCGGGGGATGGAAAAACTGCCGAAAGCTAGGTGAGCGCAATTGGCTGCGAAAGTGAAAGTGGAGACAATTAGCCACTAGCAGAGAGCAGTCCAGCAGAGCCAAGCTTCTCAAAAGAGTATCGAGACTTGGTGGAAGTATTTAGTGAGGGGGAATCAGATGCGCTCCGTCCTCACCACCCCACAGACTGTGCAATTGAGTTGCTGCTGGGGCAAAACTCCCCAAGCCAAAAATGTACCCCATGACCCTGAGGGAGATGGAGGAGTGCCGAACCTTTGTGGATAAGAACTTAGCTAGGGGTTTCATCCAGCCTGCTAAATCCAAGCTGGCACCATCTATGCTCTTTAAGGAGAAAAATGATGGATCATTGAGATTGTGTGTGGATTTCATGGGGATTAACAGGGTTTGCATAGAAAATATGTATCCCCTCCCCCTCATGAAAGAATGCTGGGGCATCTGTCCAAGGGAAAGGTGTTCATCAAGCTGGACCTGAGAGAAGCGTACTGTTATGTGAAGACCAAAGAGGGGGATGAGTAGAAGACAGCTTTTAATTGCCCCTTGGGGTGCTACCAATTCCGAGTTATGCCTTTTGACCTACAAGGAGCAGCTTTGTTCATGCAACTAATTAACGAGGTGCTGCATGATCGCCTGTACAAAGGGCTGCTGGTTTAGGTTTATCTGGAGTGCTGGTTTATCTGATTTACCTGGAAAGATCCCTTTTGAGGTGTGGATGGACCACAAGAATCTAGAGGCCCTGAAGACCTCAAGAAAACTATCCCCCAAGCAGATCCGATGGGCTTAATATATCAATCAATTTAACTTCACCCTTCGGCACCTGCCGGGGGGGGGAACTTTCTGGCAGATGTGCTATCTTGCCTGCCTTAATACAAGAGTTGCAGGGAAGAAATAGTTAACTCGATCATCCTCTCTGGGCAGCTGGCAATACAAGGGACCACAAGGCAAAGCTTACCGGCTCTCCCTCAGCCAGCTGATAGTGAGATCACCCAAAAGTTGAGGGAAACCCTGGAGGAGGATGAATAGTTTAAGGAACACAGAGAGGAGATGACAATGAGAGTGGGTCTGGCCTGGAAGGGTTCCAAGCTGTATGTGCCGCTCAACTTAAAAGTTCAGATCTTGCAAAGCCCATGGGCCATTTTAGTTTTCTGAAAACCCTCCACCTAACAAGGAGGCAATTTTGGTGGCCTAAGATGAACAAAGACATAGAGAGCTACATTGCTGGGTGTCCGACCTGCGCTTCCATGGAAAGATTGCCAGGGAAGCCTTCTGGACTGTTGCAGCCAGTTGCTAACCCCAGCAGCCTGTGAGAGAAGATAGCCGTGGACTTCATTGTGGAAATACCTGAGAGTTCCGGGAATACAGTAATTTGGAGTGTGATTGACCTGTTTTCGAAGCAAGCACACTTTGTGGCATGCAGGAAACTTCCATCAGCCCGAACTTTAGCCAAGTTGTTTGTATAGCATATATATAGACTGCATGGAGTTCCAAGGCATATCATTTCTGACCAGGGGATGCAGTTTACCTTACTGCAAAGTTTTGGTGAGAGTTGATCAAACTAATAGGTTCCTCACAGGGCCGTTCTGGGTTCCATCCGAGTACTAGTGGATTGGCCAAGAGAGCTAACTAAGTGGTAGAGTAATACTTGCATTGTTATGTGAACTACCAACAGACCAATTGGATGGAACTTCTGCCTTTTGCTGAAGTAGCATACAATAATTCTTTACATAGTAGCACTGGGTTCACCCCATTCAAAATAGCTACAGGAGCGGATTTTGTGCCGATGCCAGAACTCCCTCCTCATTGTCCTTAGCTGATTGGATGGATGACCTGAAAACTACATGGAGGGAGGTGCAGAAGGCAATGGATAAAGCTATGGAATCATATAAGAGGCAAGTTGACTGGAAGAGGGCGCCTCAAGAGATTTATAGCATTGGGATCAGGTGTACCTGTCTACTAAGTATCTCAAGCTGAGGCAGCCTTGTAGAAAACTGAATTCTAAGTACATAGGACTTTTCTCAGTTGTGAAAGTCATTAATCCTGTAACTGTTGAACTACGGTTGCCAAAAAAATTGAAGCAAGGCCACCCAGTGTTCCATTGCAGTTTGTTGAAACAGTTTAAAAGATCTAGCTCAGTGTTTCTCAATGCTGGCTGTGGAATTCTGGGAGTTGAAGTCCACATGCTTTAAAATTGTCAAGGTTGAGAAACACTGATCTAGCTTAAGACCAGGTGGAGAGGAACCTCTTTTTCCTATATTAGTGGACAGTGAGAAGCATTATGAGATTAAGAAAATACTAGATTCAAGGATTTTTAGGGGGAAGTTACAGTACTTAGTCCAGTGGAGAGGTTACCCCTTAGCTGATGCTGAATGGGTAAGAGTACATAATGTTAGGGCTGACAGATTAATAAGAATGTTTCATGATAAATACCCTCAGCGTCCAAGGGAATGATGTTTGAATGTTTGGTTAATTGTGCTTACTGTTTTCCTATGTCTACACTTCTTTCAGGGGGCCAGCATCTCAAGGTTGAATTACTAATATGCCTGCTAACATCTATCACTACTCAATTTGCCATAGAAACAGGGGGGAGGGGTAGGAAGTGTGGGAAGGAAGCAAGAGTCTAAGAAGCTAGCCACAGACCATAGTAAGTAGTAAGAAGCTACTTATGACCTGGTTCCAGAGCTCTGTCGTCTGCAACACCAGCACTACCTTGAGCACTCATGTGATTGTGGCTTGGACACTTGGCAAGCAGCTCACATTTACAGCTTTTTGCAGAGTGCTGCAGTCGTGTGACCATAATTTTCAGTTTTTTTGCTGATTAGTGGCATTTACTTCCAGTTTCCAGCAAAAAACACCCATTGAAGAAATTGAGTTCATTTAACAAACAACACAGTAAGTGTTTGCTTACTGACCACCATTAAATAATTGTAAAACTGAATGTGGTCACAGTCCACTTAACGACTGCCACAATTTACAACTGTAATTCTGGGCTCAATTATGGTTGTAATTCAAGGACTACCTGTTCTCATAAAATCACTATATATATTTTTTGCATGTTGATTAGGAAACAAAAAATATAACGTGTGTTATATTTTTGTGTGTTATATATTGTATGTGTGCACACACACATACAATTTAACATATAATTTATTTTCAGATGTATAATAAAAACATCTTGATACTGCTATGGACCTTAAAATGTTATTCTTTAATAGGGAGAAACAGACTCACATAGCTACTCTTCTGGAAATTGCATTACTACAGTAAAGATTACTTACCACTTCTTCTTGCTTGGTCTTATCAGCTGGCCATGATTCAAGAGGTGTATCTGGGATAAGGGGAGGTAGTGGGTATATGGGCTGATTGGCATTCCCTGATTGCTGAGGGTTCATTGATTGATTTGGATTTACTGGTGGCTGGGGTTTCATTGGATGCTCGCCTGTTTGTGGTTGAAGTGGATACTGTACAGACTGATAGTGTGGAATTAATGTATTATGCCCATTTAGTGGAACAAATGGGTTAAGACCTGGTTGCTGCAAATGTGGGTTCTGAGGGGGCTGTAGTGGTTGCATTTGATGGAGAGCTGGGTGTATTGCATGGACCCCATGAAAGTGAGTTGGGTGCATCATTGGTCCTGCATTATGGTGCATCCATCCTCCCATGGGCTCATAGCCATAACGTGGATACTGAAATGAGAGAAAAATTTAAGGTTACTCATGCGCATAGAATATCAATTACTACAAATCAGAAAGCTTGGTATTTTTCACAAAATAATATTATTATACAAATATTTCTATAAATTGTATTCCTGCAGTATCAAGAAAGTTAACAATTTATTCTGCTATTTGAAGGATAGTGGCTGTAACAGGTATTATTATTCAATATGAGTTGATCACATGTAACTTAACTATACCTACTAATTTCTCCTACAGCGCAACTGCTGTATATTGCTTGACTACAGGTAGTCCTTGACTTACAACAGTTCATTTAGTTCAAAGTTACAGCAGCATGAAAAAAGTGTCTTATGACCATTTTTCACACTTATGACTGTTGTAGTGTCCCCATGGTCATGTGATTTACATTCAGATGCTTGACAACTGACTCATATTTATGACGGTGGACAGTGTCCCAGGGTCATGTGATCCCCTTTTGTGACCATCTGATAAGCAAAGTGAGCAAAACTCACTTAACAACATAAATTTTGGGCTTAGTTGTGGTTGTAAGTTGAGGACTACCTATATTTTCTGTTTCTGGACTATGAGCATTAGGTTGATTGCATCAGGAATACACATATGTGGACAAGGAACATGTGAAAATTAACTCCACAGATTGAAATACTGTACCATTTTGACTGGAGCTCTGATTATGCATAAGAAAACTTGAGTGCCCAAAACTAAACTGAGTAGAATCAGTTGGGCCATTCATTTTTTACTGTGTTGAAGGCCATTTCTTATTTTTATCAGGGGAAAAAGGTCAAGTTGGCCTTAGAACAACAACATATCAATTTTGTCAGTACTTACCTAATCTGCAGGGAAACAGTTGGCACTATTTTACAGTTACATTTCCAGCATATCAAAAGAATTTTGTTTGAACATTTTAAAGAAATTGTTTTAGACCTTTATGATAAAGATTATAAGAAATCATTTTTACATGCAATGAATCAAAAATATATAAATATTTGGAATTCATGGTCTCCGGAATCACCTGAATTTTAGGACATATTAAACAAACAGAACAATGTGGAATTATGCATATCTGAGATAAACTGTATATCCCATTTCTGTCTCCATTGTTGTCACTGTTATGAATTTATCAACAATTTCTCATAAGAGGCAAGATATCTGACATACCTGATGTCCAATTATGCCCTGATACCATTTCAAAGGTGTCATCACCTTAGAAGATACAAAAACAAGCACAATTTATGAAATCTGACAAGCAATATAGATAGTTTACTTTGGGTCTGTCTTTCATACATCACACTCAACCAGTGTCATTTAGTAGCTAAAGTTTTGGATAAAGATGGAGAATCTAGGTTTAAGGCATTCTTTTGCTATGGAAACTCACTGGCTGACCACTACTTCTTCTCATTCTGAGTTAACTCACAGAGTTGTTACTATAGGAAAATATTACAAAAAGGAATGCTATGTGCACCATCTGGAAGTAAGACTAGATATAAATATAATTTATAATTTATAAATAATTTACAGTGGTATTTTATGACTTTGGCTTAATGTGGTCTGTGAACCCAGACTGTATAAAATGTGCAATTGTTTTTAGGGTAACAAGTTTTTATTAAGATGCATTCTTAATGCATTCCAAGTATTCTTTACAAATATTTCATGCTACCTTTCGATGTCTTTAATAATTAATATTACATGCTACAGAATTAGAGCATACAGCATGTTGCTAGTATTTTATATCTACTAATAAATTATGTTTCATTATTTTTCCTTTTCAAATAGATAGTGGACTGCTTTTAATTAAAAGCCTATGTTGTACATGCCTAAGCATTGGTTAATTATTTTCTTCTTGTATAAAAATGACTAAAAAGCCACCGTTGCATTGCTTGAACAAAGTCTTTTTTCGTTGCATTGTATTTCCAGTTATAATAGCCTATGGATAAAGTGAGACATTGTGGAAATGCTAGTAATGGAAGGAATGTTAGATATAAACAGCTTAGAGATTCGAGGGGAATGCATTGGTAGCTTATTCATAAACAGCATTTATTCCAGGTGGCTAAAATCTTAGGGGGTTGGAGGACTATTCAAAATGTTATTAGACCCCCCACCTTAATGAAGTCACTGAAAAATGAAGATTGGAAATCTTAGTTTCCAAGTTTATTTACCTCTAATATTAACATAACAGTCACCTTACTGAAGTATTGATATCTGTAAATCTTCCTTTGATCTTGCTCAGCTGATAGGTGTATGCAAATTAAATTCAAAATAAAACAAGTTGGAATGTTTTTCAGAATGTTTGGAGTGGGATGCTGAGTGAATCAAACTCAAAATGACTTCAATTCAGTGGTGGAATTCAGCCGGTTTGCATTGGTTCAGTAGAACCTGTAGCTAATTTTTTGTTGATTTTGGTGAACCGGCTGATACCCTAGCCCTTTTTCTCAAGCCCCAGAACGGACCACCAGAAGTGTGTGGATGCCACTTCCCGAAGTCTGTTCTGAGCTGGGGAGGCGTCCCAGGCCCAGAAAGACCCAACGGAAGTGCATGGCAACCACTTCCGGATGTCGGTTCTGAGCCGGGGAGGCCTCTCAGGCCTAGAATGGCCCACTGGAAGTGCATGGATGCCACTTCCGGAAGTCCGTTCTGAGCCAGGGAGGCCTCCTAGGCCCAGAACGGTCCACCAGAATTGTGTGGACGCCACTTCCAGAAGTTGGTTCTGAGGCCGGGAGGCGTCCCAGGCCTAGAATGGCCCACCGGAAGTGCATGGACGCCACTTCTAGTGGGCCATTCTGGGCTTGGAGGCCTCCCCGGCTCAGAACCAACTTCTGGAAGAAGTGGCCATGCAGAGAACCGGTTGTTCAGGTATTTGAATCCCACCACTGCTTCAATTCCATATTCCACTGGAACTAATTGGGAATATTTTGGGGTATTCAGCCATGGGAACAATGGCAAATTCAAACGAATCTTTTTTTTATATACTAACTTTCGCCCCTCCTCCCAAAAAGAAGGAAAATAATTACATGCTACCTGTCGCCTGACCTATAAAAAAACTTGGCCTCTATCTCTGAAAATCTACTTTCCTAATCTCTTCAGCTAACTTCAGTGAGTGGAAACAGCATCTCCAAATGTGCCATCTACAAATCCCTATGGCTTCAAACGCTTTTTAAAAAAGCAGATTAATACAGTATGTCAGTCACAAGACATACGTAAATTAACATTTTGGATTTCAGTGCTCCAATGTTTTATTTGAAACTAGACAAAACTACGAAATGTACTGTGTTTTGTTTCAGGTGCACGGAATGCTCTGAAAGACTGTTTTAATTTTTAGGATACTTTAAACACAGAGTGTTTAGCACACCCTTCATGAAACTGTCCTTGTTTCCCAGCATAAATAGTAAAAAATTCAATATATCTTGTACTTGATCATTTCATCTGAAGGTAAGATTGTATAAATTCACTGTATTCTTCCTTGCTGAAAGCTACCAAGTCAGTTGAAGAGAAACATTAGATTTAGTTTGAGTAAATCCTGTGCTTTCTAATCCTTTACTGTACATGTATGAATACAAACAAAACACAAAATTTAAATTTTTTTACCTCATAACTGAAATTGATATAACCAGGATGTTGTGGTAGCTGAAAAAAATGACATATTTACACTGTAGGAAAGAACCTATTTAAATTTTTAAGATATCCAATAGTAAGCATATCTGGAACTTTAGTGGGATGAGTAAATTGAGATAGCTGCATTATTATGAAATATTAGCCAAATCCTGTACTGCTTTAAATGTATATATGTAGGATACTTTAAACTAGACACCCAAGAAAGATGAAGTTACTATCTGACATTATAAATTGTAAAAGAAAAATAATGTTCAATTATAGTATTTCAAACTTGAATAAAATACATTTAAACTGAATTTAGGAGTTGGAGATGAAAACTCATAAGAAAAAAGAATTCAAGGTAGGAGAATCTGTTACAATACGAAGCTATGAGGTGTGGGATTCTAACAAAATTAATAATAATTTTTTAAAACATGAACAGCATAAGATGGCAGAAAGAAGTAGAATAAAATGTTAAGAATATATGAAAAGAAAAAGATATACAGTATAGTATTTTAGAAGAGAAGGAGGTTACCATACATATAACTGGAACTTTAGTAGTACCATAGGAAAACTGACACCCAAATGTTAATAAAGGGTGCCAAAAACATTTTTTAAAAGATTTTTTTCTCAGATCTGTTCAAACTAATGCCTGCTTTTGAGTTAAGAAGCAAAATGCTGAAAGCTAATGGAGAAAGGCAGAGATATTCAACTCATATTTTGACTTACTTTTTTTGTAACAAGACTGTAATAGCTGGTTCCAAGATTCAAGATATTGTTATGTAAATAGCTGGATTAAATCTTCTTTATAAAGGAAGAATCCTGTCTCCTAGCCAGATCACAGGGAAAGCTATTAGAAAGAAGATCAGAAAGGTTCCACTCTTATGTACACAAGGATGTATTGGTCCCAAATGGGAAAAAATCATCTCACTAAATCCTGATAAAGAGAGCTCTTTGAGAAACTTGCTTGTAAAAGAATCACTTTTGGTTTTAGGCACTTACAAGGATGGAGGGTATATTTTCCACCAGGCAACTGTGAAGAACAAGATGAAGCAGCAAAATTAAAGCCTGAAATTGATAGAAACATGGTCAAAGAATGTCTGTTTACTTTGGACAAGTTTAAATCTCTAGGACAGGGGTGTCAAACTGCTGGCCCATAGGCTGGATGCGTCATGGCGAAATCGCGCCCATCCCATTGCCGGCAATGGAAAAAAGTTGCGATATGTTGTGACATGTCACATGACATTGCGAATTTGACACCCCTGCTCTAAGACCAGATGAATTACCTTCCAGGGTAATGAAATAACTTGCTGTTGATATAGCTGAGCCTTTAGGTATTTATCTTTAACAAATCCTACAGAATAGATGCAGTGTTAGGTGATTGCAGGGGATAAATATTCATAGCATTAAAAACTGGAAAAAGGAGTTTCCATTTTGGTTCGGTATAGATATCAAAAAGAATGGTTGAAAACAATACGTTTCTAGAATGCAAGGATTTATCGAGAGAAGGTTTTTCAGTCCAACCTTACCTTGCTTTTTGACTAACATTTTTAGTAGATTGAGGGAATACCAACCAAGTATTTTAGTAAATTGAGGAAATACCATTCATGCTGTATTTCATAAAGTATTTGAAAAAGTATAATGTACATATAGGTAATCCTCGACTTTAGAACAGTTTGTTTAGTGACTGTTTGAAGTTATAACAGCACTGGAAAAAGTGTCTTATGACAGTGTTTCACACTTATGACCATTGCAAGATAAGTATGGAAAGAAAAATTAAGTAGGCATATAGCTCGTTTGAAAATAGTAGGGTCCCCATCAGTGGTTCCTCATTGGATGGAGAAAAATATCAACTTGCGTGCCACAATGGATAGATTTTAAAGATGATACAATGAATGATTTGTATGAAAGAATATCACATGAAAGTGGGCGAACTATCATTATCTTAGAAGACAAAACTAAATTTCAAAATGATCTTAATAAATTACACAAATGGAAAACGAATAAATTTAACACAGACTAATTTAGGTAAAAGAAATTAAAATATACAGAATAGGATGGGATCACTTGTCTTGGTAACTGTATTCATGAAAATTATGTTGCAATAATAGTTGATTACAAATTAAATAGTGTGATAAGCAAGAAAAATAGCAAATGTGATTTTTACCCACATTTAGTTTCAGTTAGATCTTATCTCCCATATTGGGTCTAGTTCTAAGTGTTGCACATTAAAAAGATTCAGACCAAAAAAAAGGCTTAAAGAAAAGCAGCAAGAAGAAGAGCAAGAGGGGATTAAAAAACAAACTAGAATTTCATGAAAAGAGAAAACTGGTAGGGCTTATAATGCTTTTCAAATATTTGAAAGGATGGCATGCTGAAAAACAATTAAGACCTGTTCTTTGCCATTCCAATATGCAAGACATAGAATAATAGGGTTAAGTTACCGGAAGACAAATTCTAATTGAATGTTAGAAAAAAAATCCTAATAGTAGAAGCAGTTTTACAATGGAATCAATTTCTCAGAGGTCATGGGCTCACATTCACTGGTGATGTTCAGATGGAGACTGAACAGCTGTCTGCTAAGGTGTGTTTTCATTGGCTTCTACACTGAAGAGCAGGTCAGCCTCTTCCAACTCAGTGATTGTAAAGAAATAATTTCCTATTTCTGAAAGTTAAAATGGAAACTTGTCTGAAACCACAGTCAGTATAGAAGCTAGGTGTGAATCCCAAAATATATGGATATAAAGCAAGAAATATACAATCTCAAAATATAAGTATATAAAGGAAGAAATATACAGATATTACTGTAGGTTGATATCAGTGCTAATATTCCCCCTTAATTCAATACTTTGAGATTAATAAAACTTACTGGGATTGCAAATGCAGAACTTAAGAGGCACATAACCAAAGTCCAGCTCTCCATCTTTCTCATAAAAAATCCTACAGCATAAAAAGAAATAATTTTGTCTCATGATACCATGAAGCCTTAAATATATATTTTTATGTTTCCTCAATGTATTGTTAAAACTAATTATTAATTATTAAGGGTAAAGAAGAATATTGTATCTCTGTAGAATATCAATGGCTGAAGTTATAACACAGGAAAAATATCCCCTTTCCACTGAAACTAATGAACCTTCAAGTGGTTAGTTTATTAGGTTCATGGAAAAAAGGTAATTATAGTGGATGTTTCCTGCAGTTGTATCTTGGCATGATAACACAGTATGTTTTCTTAGTTTAAGACAAAATCAACACATTCTCAGATCATCTTATATAACTGGAGACTATTTCTAATATATTTCACGTCCTGCAAATTCAGTAGATTTTTCCTGAATTCAATTCTGTTTCCATTTCTGACAAAATTTGCTTAGCACATACAAACCAATCCAACATTTTTTCACTACCATCTTTAAAGTCCTTATGTTGAATAAACAGAATGAAGATTTCCATGACATCTAATAAGAGAATATATTAGGGTGCCTTTGAACTTGCCTGTGGAATATCTTTATACAGGTTCTATAAGTTAAAGCATAATATGTAAATATCTGTAATTTTTTGTTAATTCATGAACTCACAAAATACATTGTATATAAATTTAACATTAGATAACTTGTTGATAATGCTACTTTAAACTAAAGCCTGCTTAATCATTGAAAGGAATAAGGAAAATATGTGAAACAAAATAGCACTTAATTAAATGTTAAGGATGAATAAAGAAATGTCAATAGCTCAAAAGCAAATTTTGAGTACTCCTACAATGTGAATTTAGGTATTATTGAAATTCAGAAACTTATCTTGTTTTAGAAGCTGAAAGGTTTTATTAGATTCTTTATCTTAAACTTAAAATAAACAATATTGAGAAATATATTTAAATATAAAAGTACTAGTTGATTAATTTTTTACCATTTGAGAAGAAAAACTTATATGTCAGCTCTATGTATATATATCTTGATTTGACTACAGTTTTATTCTGTAAATAATGAAAATGAACAATAAATTGAGAAAATGAATAAGCTTACCTTTGATAATTCTGTTGGATGGTTGCTTCAGAAGCCTTGGTAGTTCAAGGATTTTTTCTTTATTTGGCTCATATTTAAACAGTTTTTTCATAGGGAACAACCAATCAGCCTTCACATTTAAATATCTGTTGTATCATATATTTTGAGACATCAAAACACACATGGAAGTGAGTATTATGGTTAAAATATGCAGTCTTTCATTATTGCATGCACAAATTAAGACATATTATTTTGTTTCTTCAAATTGCCTGAGCTAGCTGAGATGGTGGTGGATTTAATCCTTGCTTTCATTAATAGTTTTTCCAAATTGTCTTATTTTAATATAAAATTTAAAATTAAGTATATTATTACTTTATTTTTACTACTTATAAAATAATTTTTCCTTTAAGTAGAACTTGATTTCTTGGAGACTGCATGGACATATCCATGTCATTTTCATGGCAATAGCACAGAAGTATTTCTTTGCTTTTTCCAAAATACGTGATCTCCTATCTGGAACCAACCTGACCGTAGCTAGCTTCTGAGTCAAGGCTAATTCTATCTCTATCAAAAATTATTTTGTAACTGTTTGTGCAAAATTATCTTAAAAAAATTAAACAATATTCCTTGAAATTAACTCTTGTTCTACATTGTTTTTACATAACACAATTATTATTATAGACATTTAGTGTTTATGTTGTTGTTGTTAGTTGTGAAGTCGTGTCCGACCCATCGCGACCCCATGGACAACGTTCCTCCAGGCCTTCCTGTCCTCTACCATCTTCTGTAGTCCATTTAAGCTCATGCCTACTGCTTCAGTGACTCCATCCAGCCACCTCATTCTCTGTCGTCCCCTTCTTCTCTTGCCCTCAATCTTTCCCAGCACTAGGCTCTTCTCCAGTGAGTCCTTCCTTCTCATTAGGTGGCCAAAGTAGTTGAGTTTCAAGTACACCAGTGTTTATACACAAATACATATATACACACATATACATGTTTCAGATCAGCACAATGGAATCATCGTGACCTTTGTTTTAACTCGAGAAGTCCATCTTACATATAACAAAAAAGATGGAATATTAATTTAATATAAGTAATAAAATGGGGAAAAATCTGTCTCAGGAAAGTAAGACTCTTGAATCCATCGAGTTGAATCAAAAGAACCTTTACTGAGAAAAACTGGATGCAGTAAAGTCACACGCAATCTGAAGGTCCCGTGCAAAACAAAAATAAATTCTTTTGGTTTCTCAATCCCAAACCCCCTGACCAGTCCATTGGCAGCCAAAGCGATGCCAAGAAGATATTTTGAGAATGCTGAGGTGCTAGGCAGATAATAGTTCACAATCAGGGTGCGACGGCCTTGAAACTTGGTGAAAACTGGATGGGAAGGAGCCCATCCCGTCTGAAAAGACAATCCCCCTCCCTAATTCCCAAGAGAAGAGCAGAAGCGAAAAATCCCAAACATGCCATCTCCCCACCTCCCTCAGCATTATGGTAGGACACTAGAGTACGAATGGTGGACCTGACACTATCATTTAGTTTCTCCATTTTAAAAAATTTCTAACACATATTAGCCCCATGTCTCTGATCTATAATACATACCAAGTATGTGTTTCTCTCTGCATATAAAAAATTTACAAATAGTCGATACAGAGTATTATAAATAAAGTATATTCAGTGAAATTTAGATTTTCTGTCCAACCATACTTGTAGTTCTTTTTGTATGAATAAATAAGGCTTCCATTTGAGGGTGGGAGTTATAAGCAAAAAAATCTTAAAAATTGAGCAAAATTTTTAAACTTTACAATTATTTGGGATAAAAATAATATTATAGGTAACTCGGAAATCAGATTGCATACATTTTTAGTTGGTTAGACTCAAATGGGATTTAAAGTTTCTTTGGATTTATTTAGAGGTATTAATTTTCACATTTGATTTTTTTTTTTTTTGCAGTTTTGCTTATTTTTTCCACTGAAAGTATCACCTTGATGAGGAACCTAATAATATATAAAATGGGGTTCTGTGTTATAAATTAATACCAACATCTGGTGTATGTGTCATTTATTTATGGTTATGCAGCATGTACTGTGCCCTAATCTATATCAATTTCACAGACCTTGGCTCCCCTCATCAAAGAGCAGTTGGAGGGTGAGCCGAACCGAATTCGACCGAACACAGGCAAGGATACAGGTTAGATCCTACCTAGTGGTGATGAGGGTGGCGAGGTCTAACTACTACTCCACCCTCATTGCGTCATCAGATAATCGCCTGGCCACCCTCTTCAGGGTGACCCGCTCTCTCCTTCAGCTGAGGGGGGGAGAGGATTCCCTGGAGGGGAGGGCCGAGGATTTTGCTCAATATCTGTATGACAAAGTCGCTCGGATTCGAGAAGGTCTTGACTCTGACTGGGTGGCCCCGGGGGAGGAGTCAGGAGTAAGTCTTGAGACGGTTATATGGGAGGAGTTTGAC